GGGCCCGGCCGAGCCTGGGCACGGGCTGGGGCTGCGGGAGATGGGACGCAGCATGGGGCATGGCCAGAAACACCCGTTAAAACTCTGTGTGCCTCTGGCACACGCAAAATCTGAGCTAAAGTTCTGCACGGGGTGATTCAGAGATTACCATGACTTAGAGAAGTGGCTGTAGCAGCACTGCGGTGACTTTTCATACTAAAGAAAAGATCAGTGTGAGTTTTCACTCTTAATTACATATTAAATTGACTACCTGCGAAAATATTCTCCTTAGGAATATCTCCTGTGCCGGGCCAGAAGGTCAGTTCTATACAGAAAGAGGGCATGGAGTAAACCAGTAAAAGGATGGACTTTGCTGTCCAACAGTGATGCTCAGTCAGGAATTGCTTGTTTTCGGTCTTAAAACCGGATAATCTGAAAGATTGAATCCAGTAACTCAAACCAAGCAGCACAGAGGAACTCCAGACTTAGATCAGTCAGGAACTTCTCTGCACTCTCCTGCTAGGGAAGCAGAGAGAGATCTGCAGCATCTCTGCTGTTCAGGGAACTAACTCACCTCCCCCAAAGTAGGAAGCAGCAAAACCTTAAACGGCATAAGACACCACCAAAATGAATTTGCTGTTATTTTAAAACACAGCAAAGTGGATCCAACCTCCTTTTCAAGCCAAGCCTGGAAGTCTCATCTCAACTTTGTCATGTTTTGACAACAAAAACGAATGTGCTAAGAGAAGGGTAAGGTCAGTGTGAACAGAATTCTCTGCTCTCACCGTGCTCAGAGGGGTCTCTGGATGCCCTGTGCCAGCAGTGCCATCCCACATCCCAGTCCACACTCCACTAGCCACGGTTTGTGTCTGGAATCAGTACATCCAGCCTGATAGCTCTGGGATGCACAGGGCATGGAGGGAGGGGGAAAGGAGGATCCCTATTTAACACACATGAGTGCAGTGTGAATGGATGGAAGCCAAGTGGCTCCTTAAGAGTAGCTTTGGGCAGCATAAAACAGGATTCCTTCCCACAAAATGACCTAGTGTTTGATACACAGTGAAACCCAGCACTGAAATTCCTAAGGTCCATTAGGAGAGATATAAAGCCCAGGGAATACATCAGAAGTAGCATTTGAAGTTGTTTAGGTACTGCATTGTACAAGGTTTGCTCTGTGACTCTGAGCATGTCCTGTGCAGGGCAGGAGTTGGACTGATGATCCTTGGGGGTCCCTTCCAGCTCAGGAGTTTCCCTGATTCTATGACTGCCATGCCCCATCCTGCTGGCACTGAAGCCATGACATAAGAAAACACAACTTTACTTATGTGCCCCTCAGCCTGCTCCCTGTACAGGCAGAGCCCTCCGGCCCTGGACACCAGAGTGGATTCACAAGCAGAGGGATAAAACTCCTAAAAGGACTTTATTTAGTTGTAACACTATCCTGTGCATTGATAGGGAAGGAAAAAAAAAATCAAAATATCAATAAAGTAATCTTAAAAACAGAATTAACTTTTCTAGAGTTCTAAAATGTTTCCTGATTCTTAGGAAATTTAGTGCTGACATTTCCCCTCAGCCTCCAAAGAGCTCAGTTTTACATGTCAGTCACTGGGAAGCATTTAAAATGTAAGTAACAGCATATTGAAATGAAAAAATCTTTTAAATGAAGCTTTGAAACATTTTTTTTGTTTCAAATGTTTCAAAGCTTCCTGGCCTTTGTGTAAGGACCTTCACTATTCCAAACAGCCTCAGAGCTAAAGCTCTGCACTGCCCACCAGGAGATATGGCTTGGATTCCCAGCTGAGCTGCAGATTTACCAAGTGACCTCAGCCAAGCTAATGCTCCTGCAGCATAATTCTCCTCCCCGCTCAAACATGGATAATGCTCTCTTCCCTGCGAGCCTGCCTTTTCCACTTGGGATCCTGAGGCACTGCACACACCCAGGAAAGGGCTCTCTGCGTGGAAGCTTGTCCTTTTCCTGTGTGTCTGATATGCACCATGAGGCAGAAATTCACATCCAAACTCTCAGACACTGCACAGCAAATTGAGCTTCTATGAAAGGACACAAATGCCTTTACCACCTCAGGTTTGAAGGCAAGGGACCAACTCTTTGGGAAGAGAGGTTTCCCATTCCCAAGACTAACTTTATATCCACAGTGTCCAAGCCTGTCTGCCAGGGATCAACTCCTAAGCACAATTCAGCTAGAACTGATGTCAGGACAACCATAGTTAAAAATAGACCTTATCCAACCACACTGCAATGGCAGAACTGCAGGAGAACAGGAGTTCTGGAAAATTCCAGTGTTATATATACAAGTACCATATATTTTCTCCTTTTATCCATTTGAGCTGGGCTGGAAACAGCAACCACATAGGCCTTGCACTCAACACATGTCCTGACTAATAAGTGCACTGAAATAGATATCAAACAGATAAATTTTATTTTCTCAATATTTCTAAAAATACGTATTTTATATCTGTCCATATAGATATCATATCTATCAAAAGTATTACATATATATTGGTTGCTCCAACCATATACACACATATATATATGCTCCAATAATATATATATCTTTATATATGGATACCAAAATTAGAGAAATAACAAACTCTGAAGTCAAAAATTAGACATTCAACACCTGTAGGAAGTGAGTTTCCACAGCAGCATTTCCCTGAGCCTGTGAACAGGAGCAGCCAACCCAAGTTACTTCATGTGGGTACACAGGAATCCAACACCAAGAGCTGCTAGAATTGGGAACATCACCTGCACAGAGGCACAAAACTGGGCACCATCAAGAAGTTTCCATGGACACTTGGGGAATAGCAGATACAAGCAGTGGAAGAGTGGAAGCAGCCAGGTAGTCTTTCCTAAGTACAGTAAAGAGCAAACCCAACTAGTTACTAAGTCCCTGAAGTTTAACTAGGAGCA